ACTTTGGTCTGCAGAAGAACAACTGCGCTATCTGTCGGAGTGCTGACCACAAGCCTGCTGGGTCTGACCCTTCCCTTTTTTCCTTTTCTTCTTCCTTTCTCTCCTTCCTTCCCAGATGACATTTTCCTTACTTCCTTACTTCTTTCCTTTCATCCTTCCTTCTGTCCTGTGAAAAGGACATGATGTGTGTCCAAGTATGGTGCCATACTCAGAATTTGTGCTCTGCATTTCACCCATCCAAGTGCACACACATAGCAGTGAGTAGTGAACAAACACACACCCAGAGCAGTCGGCAGCCATTTATGCTGTGATGCCCAGGGAGTAGTTGGGGGTAGGGCTGTCGCGACCGCAGCAACCGCGATTTTTGCGTGTTTTCTTTTTTCGTAAGGTTATGCCCTTCTCATTTTACACTTCATGCATGTGGACTGAATATTACTACATATTTCCTTTCTTCCTACATACCTACCTTCCTTCCTTCCTTCCTTCCTTCCTTTTTAAATCATTGTTGCAGACCATTTAATCTAATCTATATGCCATTGTTTACTGTTATTTTGCTTTGTAGTCCTATTGTATGTCATGTACAAAGCATCATAAAAACAGACTAACAGGTGAACTAGACTAACTGGCCACTAAATTGGTGGCAGTCATATAATTTCCAAGACTTCCTCTGAATTGTTTGTGTAGTTGTGCTTTTCCAAAAAAAGCTTTTCCTTTTTACGTTAACGTCACCACTCAGTTATCCCAAGCACCCCAGCATAAAGTCCAGACTGTAGACCGAAAAATAACATGGGAACCTGTCAGAAAAATGAGTCTGTGTGTGTGACAGAGAGGGATAGATAAAGGTGTGAGCTCGCAGTGCTGAAGCCGAAGTGAGTTGAGTAAATAATCGGCCGTCTGAGGAGCCGCGGGTGTGGGGCTGGCGTGTCAGCAGGCGATGGATGAGACTCCAGGCCTGATTGTAAAGCCCAGCAGGTTGTGTTGGTTGAGTGAGTCTGTGCCGAGTGGAGTCTCAATCTTCCCTCTAATAGGCCACTGACAGGCCTTTACCACACACATATACACACACTTGCGAGTACACACATCAATAAAAGTGTCCTGACAGGGACCACAGCCTCAGCTTTGGTACCTAGCACGCAGTACTACACTAAACTGGCTGCGCACATGCACACAAAGACACGGGTGGCATCAATTCTGTGGCGCTATCATTAAACAATAGGTAAGGTGGAACAATACAGCGAAGTGCGTAGTATACGGCTGGCTGTGTAAGACACAAGCTCTCTGACAAGCCATATTTGTCATCCGCTGGAACGCAGGCAGGTCCGACATCTGCGGTACAGATGAGAGGTGTGTGAAAAAGTGACTTTGAGCCAGACAACTAATCTCGCTGCCTCACATACTCGACCCCTTGTCGCAGGCCCACACACAAGTGTTTGCTCCCTCGCTTATGCAGTCTGGTAATACACTCCACAGCTCAAACACTCCATCACATAAAGCACACATAAACCCTCATAAAGGGTCCTCTGTATTACACACAGTTGTACAGTCGGACACATCCCTCCACTGTGTGCCATGCTGGGCTGAGATTTGATCATTGGTAAATGTTTGTCGAAGATGAATTCCCCCCGGCTGATACTGAAGTGTGTGTGCGTTTATGGGTCCAGTGATAAATGGAGAAGGGTGCCCTAGAGTAGAAGACAGGGAAAAATAGGAGGAGGAAGGTTTTCTATTGCGACAGGAAATGTGAGTTTGTTTTATAACATTATGGAATGGCCATTAAACGCACCCTGGAAAAAGAAGCTGTTCAAATAACCAGGGAGAGGCATATTACCAAAACAATACATTTGTATTTGCTTTTATTTACTCTTTACTTATTTTGCTTAATTCACATTTTCTTTCTTTCTTTCTTTCTTTCTTTCTTTCTTTCTTTCTGCTTTATTTTTCCTCCTTGCTTCCTTTTTCCTATCTTTTACTCTTCCTTTTACTCTTTTACGCTTACTCTTTTTTTCCCTTCTGTCCATTCATTAATTTATTCATTCCTACCTTTCTTTCTTTCTTTCTTTCTTTCTTTCTTTGCCTCCTACTTTAGTTTTCTTCCTTCAATTTTTCCTTTCCCCATTCATTCATTCATTCCTGTCATTTTTCTTTCTTTCTTTCTTTCTTCCTTTCTTCTTTCCTTCCTTCCTTCCTTCCTTCCATCCTTTCCTTTCCTAATTTATTTTATTATTATTCATTCCTATCATTCATTCCTGTCATTTTTCTTTCCTCCTGCTTCACTCTTTTCTTTCTTTCTTTGCAATAAATGATTCTTTTCATTAGGGATGCACCGATACCACTTTTTCCAGTACTCGCCCGATACCGATACTTTTATTTTTGGTACTTGCCAATACCGAGTACTGATACCGATACATTTGTAAATTTTTTAAATATTGGGTACAGAAACCAAAAGAGTATGTATAATGTTAGTTGGTTAACTTCATTTATCAAATAGATACAGTCAAAAAAAAAATATTCAGACACCTTCAACATTTCTCACATTATCACAGTTTATTCGCTATAGTTTAGAACATGGTAATAAAATATGACAAAAACTCAGAGTTAAACTGTACTGGTAGTCCACTGTATGAAGAATTTTTGGGTATAATTTGTCACAGTTTACTTTATTTTGCTATCCTCACTTACGTAAATGAGCAATAGTGTCCTGCACCCACTAGTAAAAAAATATATAAGAAATGATATCTGGTCTCTGAATAATTTTTGGTTTGACTGTATATCCTTCGGTTATTTACTGTAATCACGCGCTTTGCTGTAATAATGCAGGGAACCACTCGTTATAAATCTCCTAACTGTGATATTTTCAGAAATCGAAGTAGCGTTTTTTTTTTCATCTGAAACGTGCTGCGATTTATATTCCAAAGCCACTCAAACACTCAAGCAAGCAACGCGCAATGCGTGCACGTATATTTGTACTGGTGTAGAATGAGAGGGACAAGTACAGTACAGACTAGCGCATTTCACACAGGCTGCTAGATTCACTTTCGCCAGAAAGTCGTGTATGCCTAAGGTTGAAAATAAATGATGTTTATAGT